GTGCTCCCAGAACAACGGGTGCCCCAGCTGTTCTCTCATACGTTGGAGCCCGTGGGATACGGTGGGGGCATTGGATAAGGCGCCCTTGGATAAGAAAGCCAGGGTCTGGAAGCCGTCGGAGCTCCAATCGACGCTGGGCCATGGATCTCACCGCCGCCCTCATCGGATAAGGGATCCTCCAGGGCCTGCAGCCTCCTGTGCACGTTCCTTGACCAACGCCTCCACCGTATGTTGGAGCCCCTGGCATGTAGAGGCCTCCCAGGTGGGGGGTCCGAGTGGTCGAGCTGGGGATCGACTGCAGAATTGATTTGCCCCAGACTTGACTTTTTTCTTGTCGAGTCATACGTAGATTGTTCGTAGATCGACGAACATCCTGCGCGTTCCTCATGGATCCGACGAGCAAAATCAATTTTGGGGGTACATCAATTCTGTAGTCGATCCCCTCCTACTTGAAGTGCATGGGGTGGAGGATCGCGCCGCAACACTAATGCGGCCAAACCTATGATCAAGAAATACATGAGTGAAGACATCGGGATCAGCTTCGCGGAAGCTTCTTGACACAAACCTGGGCCAATTTCTGTTGCTGACGCCTGGGGGGCGAACGTGCTCAAGAAACTGGGCCAGCATTCCGGCAAGTCGGTTAAGAAACGCTGCTCCATATGTTCGGAAGGAGGTCTGTTAATCATATGCTCGACCGTACATCGGCGATGGATCGACGATGCATCGGTGACATCGGTTTGGAGAACATGCGGCCCCACATCGGGCCGCATCGCCGATGCGGCGGTGATGCGGCCCGATCCTCCGAACCCACCTGCGCACTCGGACCCCGCTGGGGAGGCCTGGATGGGAGGCCACCTCCGGATGGGCGGCTCGGCCGTGCGGGAGGAGGAGGAGGAGGAGGAGCGAGCAGGAGCAGGAGGAGGAGGAGGAGGAGGAGGAGGAGGAGGAGGAGGAGCGAGGAGGAGCGAGGAGGAGGAGCGAGGAGGAGGAGGAGGAGGAGGAGGAGGAGGAGGAGGAGGCGGAGGAGGAGGGCCTCCCTGGAAGAGCTGGGGTCGCCCTGGGACCGGGGCCACCTCCGGCAGCACCCGGCTGGCCTCCTCGAAGAGGGCCTCCATGACGCCGCCGGGCGGGGTGCTCCAGGCCAGCTTCAAGTCGGGCCTGTCCCCCTGCGCGGGGATTTTCGGCGAAAAATAAAAAACGCCCCCCCAAATAGTACAAAAAAGCAGTCCAACAAATCGTCTGGGGACTGTTTTTCTTGGATGTTCTTTGACCTTTTTGGGGGCATTTCTGGGGTCGCCGAACATCCCCCTTGCAGGGGGAGACAGGCCCGACGTGAGGCCAGCTGGGCCCCCGAGGGTGGCGCTCACCCTCGAGCTCGGGGTGCGCAGGCGTGCTGGCAGGAGCGCGCGGGGGCGGACGGGGGAGGCCAGTGAGGGCCGAGGAGGCCTGGGCCAAAAAGGCTACGGTTACGTCGGGCCTGTCCCCCTGCAGGGGGAATTTTCGGCGAAAAATCAAAAAATGCCCTCAAACATGCCCCCAAAGTGTCAAAAAAAATACTCCACAAGTAGTCCCCAGACCATTTTTGGATTATCGTTTGACTATTTCCGGGGTATTTTTTGCACTTTCGTCGAAAATCTCCCCCTGTAGGGGGACAGGCCCGACTGAAGGCTACGGAGGAGGGAGGGGCAACCGCACGCAAAGCCCTTCCCGTGCGGGTCAGACGCGTGAAGTCCGACGGTGAGGCAATCGCGGATGATGGAGGCAGGTGGGGCTCGACTTCGGGAATACCGGAGGGGGTGCGTCAGAATTCGAAGGATGTGTGCAACCAAGCGAAGCCTGGCGGGGGTGTCCGCTACGGGTATGCCCCACGAGTGGGTCGGGCCTGCAGGTGCAGGGTACGCAGGAGACAGTTTCGGTTGTTCCTAATGTCCTTCGTGCTCTTTCGATGTTCTTGTGCATCTCGGGAGGGCACCCTTAGACGTTCTGTGCGTGCGTTGGCCAGCGGAGGTTCTCATGTTCTTGAGGGATGTTATTGAGTCTGTTTCTTTTCAGACCCCGGCAAGTTTTCTTGCATGAACGGGGTGGGGCCTGAACCTGAAGCAAGCCGCAAACGACGACTTGCACGTGCGGACGCCACGCAAGGCGAAAGGCGCTTGCACGCTGGTATTCGTTTGAAGAGGGGCAAGGGGGGGGGGGGGGGGGCGAACGCCGTGCAAATAAACTTTCCTAAGCTTGAAAAACTAAGCTCCAGGTGGTCGCCGAAGAGAGGGTGCCCTGGACCGCGCGTCCTGCTTGACCAGGCTGCCCGGGAAGCCCTCGACCCCCATCTTTTGCACGGGCTTCGCACCTTGGGGCCACCTCTGGGGGCCGTGGGCTCCCGGGGCTCCTGACACGCCGCTAAAAAACCTCGGCTGAGAAAAACGGCCATCGTATTGGGGACACCAAAAAGAACCGATACTGCTGCTCCCCCGACCTCTCTTGGGGTGCGTGCTGACCAGCACTTCGAGGCGAATCCAGCGGCGGCGACGAGGGCCTCCCGGGAGGCCCAAAACGGGGAAAACGGGCGAAGGGTAGCGGTATGGGCCAGCGCCCAACCAGTTGTTAGAGAACAAGACAAAGCCAAAACGAGGATAACATAGGGTGAGGATAAACTGAGAATCTCTGAGATCCGGCGGTTCTGGAGGATGTCTCGGGCGCCGCGGCGTTCTCAGAGTGTTTCGGAACGCACTGAGAGCGCTCTGGAACGCTCTGGAACGGATCCTCGTCCTAGCCCCGTCCGCAAAGAAAACCCGAAAACTTCAAACTCATCCGAAGATCAGCGCGGGATGAAAATCGTGATCCCCGCCGCGCGACCAGAGAGAGGCCCGCGTTCTCAAGTGGCTTGGATATTTCCTAAGCCGTCGGTCGGAAAGAGTGGGCAGAAACATGCAGTAGGACTGCGGTGAAGGTAGATTGCGCTTCAGCCCGCCCACTGTAAAGGACTGATGAGGGAAACCCAATAGATTGTCGAAGTACAAAGGCGCCTAGAATAGATTGGAACCTGGTACCCCGAACATTGAATACCTACTTTCGCCGACCGATGGGTGCGGCAGCTCTGAGAAGACCACACAGGCAGTCCTGGCAGATCTCACCCCGAAGTCCAGCTGCAAAGCCTCCGGCCCCGCGCGCGCGAGAGGGATGAGAGGTGAGGAGGGGAGAGCGAAGAGGAGGACGAGGACGAGGGAGCAGAAGCGGGGAGGGAGGAGACGCAGTGCGGGAGCAGGAGGAGGAGGAGCGCGAGCTGCCGCGCGAGCGGTGGCGCGGTCCTGCGAGGCTCTGCTGGCGCGACCCCGCCCGCGACAGCCCGCAGTCTTTCCCGGGCGCGCGCACACCTCGCGCGCCCCGAGCGGCCTCGGCTCTGTCAGCGCACCTGCGCCTCAGGGCTCCTGCCCTGATGGAAGCGCGGGCCGAGAAACATCGAGGGGAAAGGAACTGAAGGGGCCCTGGGACACACGAGTAGATAGACACAGGTCAGAGGATTCCCCATAGTTTCCCACATCTTCTGGGCTTTCGGGTTCCCCCCCCACTTCCCGTATTTTCTTGCATTCTCTGGGGAATCGACGATTCATTGTGTCTGTGTGCTTTTTTCCCCTCCTGAGTTGAAACGTCGAGGGGAAAGGAAGGGGGGGTGGAAGGAAAAGAGGAGGGGGGAAGGAGGATGAGCGCTCCAGCAGAAGAAGAAGAAGAAAAAACCATAAACGCGAAACTGTTGGCGCTCCGCGCGGATTTCTTGGATCCGCGCTGGGCCCCCCTCCCTGGCGCGCTCCGCGCGCCAGGGGCGGCGACGGAGGCGCCGCCGGGGGGGGGGGGGGGGGGGGGGGGGGGGCGCAGCGCGGATCCAAGAAATCCGCGCGGAGCGCCAAAACTGTATGTTTGCGGCGGCTTCTCTTCTTCGAGAAGGAGGAGCTTCAGTGAGCTCACGAGGACGCCCGACAAGCTCGGAGGCAAAGACGCTCTCACCAGGCGCGCGGGAACCAATTTAGCAGGGACCGACCGTCCCGGCTTTCCTATTGCCCTACCACGACATGTTCCTAGAACCTCAAAGTGTTCTAAGAACAGAAACAATGCGTTCAGAACAGGAACCCGATGTGCCAAAACAAGACAGACTCCGCCAGAAGTGTTCTGAGAACACCTCGTGGAAACCGCAAAGGGTTATTAGAACATGGTTTGGTGGGCCTATAGGTGACTACCTACCAGACCACCCTAACCCAACCCGAAGACCCGAATTTCGGGTTGGGGGGGTAAGGGTTCCACATATGCTTTTTCGATGTTTCCCGACCCCCCCCCCCACTGGAAATCGAGGGTAAATCTGAGCCTTCGGGTTGGGTTGGGGTGGTTTGGTGGGTGGGCCTACAGGCGAGCCAGGACGCTCCGCCACTGCCTGAGCACTGCGCCGCTCGGAACCCCGGCCCGCGCTGGCTCACAAGGCCTCCGCGCAGCCGGCCCGGGCAAGCCGCCCGGCCCGCGAGAGGCCGGCGGCCCGGCCTGGCGCGGGCCAGACCCCCCCCCCCGCCCGCCTCCCCGAAGAACACATACGTACGTCAGTGAAGACACATACGTACACCAATGAAGACACATCCCTGGGGGCCCTGGCCAGGGGCACACACAAAGGAAGACACATACGTGCCTCCCCGGAGTCCCCAGCAGTTTCGTACAGTTTCTGGACTCTCGTCTCCCCCCCCCCACATTTCCCATCTTCTCTCACATTCTCCTGGGCGTCGGCCACTCTTTGTGTCTGTGTGTTTCGGAGGCGGCCAAGAGGGGGGTGTCCAAGAGGGCGGGGGTGCAAATCATGCCCGGCGGCACGTGCGCGGCCCAGCGGGGGGGCCAGGGACGTAACGAAATAAGAGGAGGCGCCATGAGATCCGGGGAAATATCATGCCCCCCGCCATGATATCCACCCCCCCCTAGTCCTCATCCCCCTCTTTGCCGTCCCCAAGTTTCTTTCCCCTCCTGAGTCATGGCACGCCGGGGCGCGGCTAGTGTCAGCTGCCCTCGGCAGGGGCAGGGATTCGCATACGTCCACCGCCTGGGGGGGGGGGGGGGGGGGCGACCCCCAGGGCCAGAGCAGGATCTGGCGACTGTGTGGGGTGGGAGAGGAGGACAGACAGACACCTCTGGGGGCCAATAGTTTATCCGAAGTGAATCAAGCGCCCTAGGACCGACATAACTGCCGCGAATTCGGGCCTCCAGCCCGCCCTGAAGCCTAACAGAGTTTCAAAACCCTAGGCACAACACGCACTACACACTGTACCCCAGGAGACGGGCCGCGGACCCCGACAGGCTCTCGCCGAAGCCCGCACTCCGAAAAACCCGAACAGCGTCCTGGTGCTTCCTAGCCCGTTTAGAAGGAGGAGGAGGAGGAGGGGAGGAAGAAACGGCGGCCTCAGCGGCGGCAGGCGGGCGAGCCTCACGCCTCGCCCTCAAGGACCCCGAAGTCTGAGTTCCCGACGCCCTCGAAGCACACGATGCACGCACCCTCACGTCGCTGGACGTCGCAGTACATCGTGACAAGGGAGGACGAGCAGATGCCGTCGCAGAAGCTTCATCATTCGAGTCGAATGCTGATGATAATGATGGCGATGGCGGCAGCCGCGCGGGAGGCAAAATCTGGCGGGGCAAATTTCGGCTGGAAGCAAATGTTCGTGTCCTGCGGCTGCAATCGAACTTCTCACCATGAACATTTATGCGTCCATCTCGCCATCCATCAGAAACGATTGTAGCACCCGCTCCAAATGGTTCATCGGCGCCACCCCGACCTTTTTCTCCGCCCCCAGCTGCACCAAGCAGTCGATTAACACGTGCAAGGAAGGATCCGCTGTCATCAAGATCTTGACGGTGTCGCTCTTGTGGGCTGTCTGCACCTTGGCGAACGGGTACTTCTGCGAGACCTCGGGCAGGCTCAGCGCTGACACCTCCTGGCGCCACGCTGCGAGCTTGCCTGCATTGGCGGCGCCTACCGACTGGCCCGCCTCTGTGCACCCCTCCGTCAGGCCGACCAAGCACGCGAGGGAGATGGTGCCCGTCTGGGCGATGTCTTCTTCCTTCTGTCGGGCGCGAAGGTCTTGAGCGGACTCCACCCACGCCTTGACGCGTGCCCTGCTCCTCTGAACGGGGATCGCATTCTCTGGCATCACCAGCGTGACCAGCAAGACTGCTTCTGACTGCCGCTGCCTCATCGTCACATTTAGCAACAATTTCATGACCACTGGAACGATACGCTTGATCTGCTCCAACTCTAGCGTCTCCAGCTGTTCGAGCTCTTCCTTGGGCACGCGCTGCTTCCCCTGCCGCTGCGCGCCCTTCTTCGCCACGCGGTCTCCTCGTCCCTCGGACGCGGGTGGAGGCCGACGCCTGCTGGACTCGCTCACGACGGACGAGCTCGCAGCAGGGACCGCCGAGAACATACCACACAAACTCTGGTAGTGGAAGTGGCAAGTGTGAGACTACGTGCCTCTGCAACTGCTCGAGAGACTCAAACGGCTCCTGACATTGGGGACATATCCTGATATCTGGGTCCACAATCGGAGGATCATACTTCGAAGAGTCCACGCGGCAACGCCCATACTGGTACGCATTCACGAGGTGTCGAACAGCGGTGTCACGGCATCGAAAGGTCGACGAACAAGCGATACATTGATTCGTAACCACGAGCTTAGAGACCAGCGTAGGGACCCCGTGTTGGCCACCCGAGGCCTGGCGCTGGTGAGCAAGAAGCGCACGACGAGTTTGAAAGCGACGATCGCATGAAAGCCCGTCTCCCGTAAGCAGGGTGCAGACGTGATCGCCCGCAGCGAGCTCACCTGGGTCAGGAGGGGCCTCGGCAACAGGAACCTCACGAAGGAGCCATTCGGCCCTCAGCTGCTGGACATCGAACTTCTGAAACGCATGAAACGCATCCTGGTCATTTCTGAACACGTTTAGGTAGTCCCCGCCCGTCAACTCCAAGACATTCCTCCCCTCCTCCGTGTGCCCGAGGTACTCGAGGTCCCGAAAAAACTGACGGGCCCACGGATTGGTCTTCGACGTGTCCTGGAGGTGAACCTGAGCCGAGGGAAACCACTCGAAGGGCGACGGCGTCGGGGCCTCAAAGTCGAGCTTCCCAAAGACCGCAGTGAGCTGCTGGACGTGCCAGACGGGGGACCTCGCCACCTTCTGCCACTCCTTAAGTCTCTGAACCCGTAGCTCCAAGGGAATCGGAACAAGACCCGCACGTTTCCAGATCTGGATGGCCGGAGGGGTTCGGATCACAACATGCTCGGACCCGTCAGCCGCGACCATCGGAACCTTAACAGCAACGCCCCCCAGCAACACCTTCAGGTACTTAAGAACGATGGAGTCCAATCGGGCCTCTTGAGACTCTGAGAGCACCACGGCCGTGAGTCCAGACACCGCCGCCCCGATCACGTTGCTACGAAAAGCCATTTTCTTCGAACGCCAGGCCGTACATTCCGTCCAGAAGCGTCTCATGTGGGCCCACCCTCTGACAACAGCGGCACAGCGAGCAGACACCTCGGAGCTCCAGGAACCCGAAGACTCGAACAAAGTACCCAGGAACGGCACCACAGGCAGGACGAGCCCTGGTAGATTATCCCCAGCCTGAAACGCTGCTCGTGTGAAGCGGTTGGCACCATGCCCGACGTAGTGTGGCAGAACTTGCTTTTTCCCATCACTCTGGTAGATCCCGTGAGGCGACAGCTGAGAGTTCAACAGTCTGTCAGACTTGTAAATGATACGACGTGCACTGGTAAGATCCTGGACGACGTGGGTCTTATTGACGTCGTCAGCAAAAACTCTCAGAGACAAATCGCAGCGTGTCCCCGAGATGGTACACACCCCCTGCAGCTGGCTGGCCTGGTCGCTGTGGTGCGCCTCCTGCCAGGCACGGATCGGCGGCGCGAACGCCTCCTGGAAAACGGTGGCCGCATTTGAGTCCCCCATGTTGTTCCCCTCAGAGTTCTGAAAGACCTTCGATTCCCCCTCAGCACACACCATGAAGCAAGCAGCACGATGGCGCTGACGAAGGATGTCAGCATCAGCAGGATCATATATACGAGCAACAGCAGCATCAAGTGTATTGTGTTGAACAGACCCGAACGCATTTCGCATATCATGTTTGGTATCCACCGTAGACAGTCGGCCCCGTTGGGCCCTCCAGGTTAGGGCGGCAGTGGCCCTCACAGCTCCCGTACGCGATCGCCGAGGCAAATATCCGTAGTCGTGGTAGGGGATGTCCCTGGCCCGTCTGGAGGCCGTCTTCACCCACATTTTACCAAAAGAACATAACCCATGTAGAAGGCGGGTTCCCAGGGTCCGCAGTTTCCCATTGTCCTTGGGCAGTTGGTACGTGAATGACTGATTCCACTGGGCCACTAAACGGCCATGCTGTCGAACTTTAGTTAGTATAGCTGCTACCCACCGCGCAACTAGCTCACCCCGTCCTCGAGGTTGGGGGGCCCCGAGTCCAGCAACACGATCTGGCCCCTCAGGGCGCTGAGAAAGAAGTAACGACCATACCTCGTTCGGCACGCTCCACGGTACCGCGGCGCGACGACGACGAGCAGTGCGGAACCCCTTGGAAATTCTGTCCAGATCAGCCCTCCCCCACTCCACCTCCTCGGTCGTCGGAAAATCCGCCGTGTCGTATTTCGACGCAAGCTCCAAAAACTTATCCCCGTCGATCGGCTTCGCAGACATTCCCCCACTGCTCGACGGCATCGCCAAATCCTCCACCCACTCCTGCATGCTCGGGGTATAGGCAGCTATGTGTCCAAACCTACGCCGTCTCGGACCTACCCCAGCTCCAGCCATGAGTCGACAGATCCGCCACTCCTCAGACATGAGGCCCCGTGCGTGAGCATCTGCAAGTTCCTCTGCAAGCTGAGCCTCACGCTGCTGACGAAGACGCCTCCGCAGCCCACGACACAGACGGGTCAGACGCGACAGAGCTAGAACATCTTCTAAATTGTCCGTAACCGCAGCCCGAGCCTGTCCACGCAACCTAAGAAGCCGAACGCGCTCACGAGCTAGCTCCTGATAAGCAGCAGGAAGGGCCCTGGGACTTGCTTCGAACATGCTTAAACCCTGACGCTGAAGGAGGTCGACTAGTTCGTGCCAAGCAGCCTCTAGAGACTCAGCATCTTGGACAAGCTGCTCAACTGAGACACATCCCTTTGCCTCAAGAACCTCGCCGATCGCGCGTTCCACTGACTGGCGAAAGGCATCAGCATGGAACTCACTACGAAGTGCCTGTCCGAGCCCCACGAAGTCCCACCTTTTCCGCTCCTCACGATCGACATGACACGGACGTAAATCAATCTCAAGAATGAATGGTACATGATCTCGAGGCCGGCTGTCAGGAATGGCCTGAAGTCGGCGTGCCGTCCGAAAAGGTTGGGTGAATCGTCGTACACTCGGCACGTGTGACGACGGTATCAGAACATGATCGATCCATGAACAACTCTGCTGCTTAGCTTTCCCTGACGCTGCAAACAGACGAGCCGCCGTCGCCGAAGGTGGGGAAGTCGAGGGAGTCCGATCCGTCGTCGTCGACTTCGTAGGTACCCCATAATAACTAGGCCCTCCACTGAAAACAGTATCTAAAACCGACAGCTCGTACGTCTCAGCCAGTTCTCTCATGAGTCCCCCAGCCTGGTGTTCGACTCCCCTTCCGTAAGGCCCCAGGGCCTTGCTCTCGACCATCACGTGACCGTGCTTACCACCCACGAGCCCGATACCGTCATTAAGATCAGTAGCCACAACAGGAAACGTACGACACGGAAGAGATGACAGCACATGATGCCCAAAGTCCGTCACACGTGAAATCGTCGTCGATAACTGCTGCTGCTCGCGTGGATCTCGAGACCGAGGAGGGTAGTACAACGCCACCACCGAAAGATCACCATAGAACGATTTTACTCGTATTGCTGCTGCGCGTCCACGAATGTCAGGCGGTGCAGTCCAGATGCGAACTACATCACGTGCACGTACAGTGTTTTTGTTCAAGTAAAAAGCAATGCCACAAGAACAGTTAGTCAGCGCTCCTTTAGCAGACCACCCACAATGGACCACTTTGAACCCAGGGAGATCTTCCACATGATACGGAGCGCTCGGGGAACACTTGCGTTGAGTCCCGATGAGCACAAGTACGTCAATAGATTTGAAGGCATACAGAATCTCTAACTCACGATCTCGATCAGAAACGGAAAGTGGATTCCACACCAAGATTCGCATCACGTCTGCTGATGTAATCGCTCCGCTGACAGCCTGACACGCCGTCTGCTGATGTAATCTCGCTCCGCTGACAGCCGACGCTCTCTCTGTAATGCTGACGAGCAGACCAGAGTTGCCGAGCGCCGCCTCTGTGCAGCAGACGATCCAGTCTGGCTCGCTGAGGTCCTGGCCCACGAAGCAGGCCGACGTGAGGGCCCAGACGAGCAGCGCGAGAAGAAACAAGAATGATGTGAAGCTGAAATGTGGAGTGAAGGGTGAGTGCGATATCGGGGCGGGTGGGGGCCAGCCTCGAAGTCGGGGTTCCCGAGGCCTCCCCCGCCTGCCGAGCGGCCGCTGGTGCATGTCCACCTGGGCCGCGCGGCTTGGGAGAGGAGGAGGAGGAGGAGGAGGAGGAGGAGGAGGAGGAGGAGGAGGAGGAGGACGAGGACGAGGACGAGGACGAGGAGGAGATGGAGGAGGAGGCGGAGGAGGAGGCCGCATGGGGCCCTGGGATATCTGCTCCGCGGGCGGTGGATCTGCGTGAATCCCGGCCTCGGACCTCGCGTTCCACCTCGCAGTCCGCTTGGAAGCCCTCGTACTCGAACGAGCGCCTGGGGCACCAGCCCTTGCCGCGGTGCTTCTCCTTGCCCGGCGGGTACTCTCGGAAGTTCCCGTAGTCCCTGTCGTGAGTGTAGCTCACACAGACTTCGTCGGGGGGGCCGTCCTCCTTCCTGTAGTCGGGCTTGACGTATGCGTCGGTATCCTGAGGCTCGTCCCCCATCCTGGCTTTGGCCGATCCCGAACCCAGAGCTGAACACACCGCCTCTCGCCTGGCAGGCACGGCACCTCTGGCCGTGCGGCCTCCCCTCCAGCCGCCCCACGCTGTCTTGCCGGCCGCGGAGCCTACAGCCCGGCAGCGCCGACCTCTCGACCCCGAAGAGGAGCAACGAAGACGCAAGCGTCAACGCTCGGCGGTCCGCGCGGACCTCCGCAGGATCATGCTGACGTGGTTCGTTCTTCCTCGACCCTGCCCCCCCCCGACCGCAGCCCTCTACGGTCCCCCACGTGGAGTGCCGGGGTTCGGGGCGGGCCCAGGTCCGAGGCGCCAGGAGGCACAGCCTCGGCGCAGGGCGTGTTCTCGTGTTGCCCAGTGCAGCTTGCGAGATGCAAGACGCAGCAGGAGCACACACACACACACACACACGCACACACACACACACATACGCACACGCACACGCACGCACACAGACACACACACACACACACACATACACACGCACACGCACGCACGCACGCACGCACTCACAGATACACGCACTTCTCGGTCGTCGCGGGCAAGGCTTGGCCACAAGCCGATTGCCCAGGCAAGACGGCAGCACGGATCAGCGGAGGCCAGAGCAAGCTAGAATTAGGACGACAAGAGGCCAGTACACTCGAAACGCTGTCAGAAGGAACCCTAAATGAGGAACGGGGCCACTCTTTCCATCAGTCGAGCTTCGACTTCCCACAGAACACCTCGGGACAAACTTAGACAAACCGTAAAACAATCAAGGAGCACTGAACCCCTCCTCAACGAAAGGGGTCCCTTCTTCCGCGGCCCGACTGCAGGAGGAGGGCCAGAGTTTGAGGCCTGGAAATGGGCACCAACACCAACACAGGGGGCTACCTCCACAGGGGGGAGATGATCCTAGATTTCGGTGTTGGTGGTAATATTTCGGCCACCCTGGAAGCCAGAATCTTATCACCATCGCGGAAATCGGGATCTTCTTCCTCCGGAGGAGGCACACCGCCGAAATTGGTGTTGGTGTCAACCTCTATAGGGGGCAAACAAACCTACCTCGCTTTTGACCACCCTCGCTTCCAAAAGATACCAAGCGATGCTAGACTACGGCCTGTACTGGTCAGGCCGCTGGACGAGGAGGCGCGTGGTATGACTTGGTTTTGCCTGGAAGCGAAAGCGGGGTAGGTAATTCACGTTCTGACTCTAGGCCTGCGACAGAGGGGGGCCGGGCAGAGCGGAGCGAGCAGCGAGGAGCGAGGAGCGGCAGCAAGCAGCCGACGGAGACGGGAGGGCGGACGCAAAGGGGGTCAGCGGGCCGACCGGCGGAGGAGGGGGGAGCGGAGGGGGCGGGAGGAGAGACCACGCACCGCAGGGGCAAGGAGAAGCACGAAGGGAGGGAGAGTGGGAACACTTTTTTGGTCTGCGGGTCGAGAGCGGGCCTCTTTCGGTTAAGAGCCAGGCGGGGCGCGCAAAACACGAATTGGGGAGACAGGGCGCGGGCGGGCGGGGCCTCAGGCGGCCGGAGGGCGCGGGTTGCAGGCGGTGCCGAAGAGCTTGCACAGGAAAGGTACGCCTTGGACAAGGGCAGGAGGCGAAGTCCCGGAGGGAGAGTGGGAACACAAGGAAAGGCGACACCAACACCACCAGGGCGAGGAGATGCGAGGAGCAATGGGGGTCCCCCCGGTGGTGTGGCCCCCCCGTCTCGCTCGAGACATCTCTGGCCTCCAGCTCGGGGAGGCCTCGTGGACCTCCTCGCTGGAGGTGGCCCCCCTGGTGGTGTTGGTGTCGCTTCTCCTCCCTCCCAGAGAGGAGGAGCCAGCAGAGGAGGGAGGCGAGGGAGGAGGAAGAGAGGCACAACGCAAAGGCGGGGGGGGAAGGGGGGGAACGCCCAGCGGCCAGAGGCACGCCCGATGGAAAAACACAGAGCAACGCATCATGCCGATGGAGGCCAAGCCTCCGGAGGGGGGGGGCAGTGGGGAGGGAATGGGACGTCACGACCGACAGGAGAAGGCGGTAGGAGTGCAAGAAATGATCAGCCGTCCTGACCGATGGCTGACCAGCGGGGCATGGCTTTTACTTTTAAACACTTACACACATATTCACCGATTCACAAATTCACACACACACACACACGAACATACACACACACACACACACACGCACACACGCACGCACTTGACGGCATAAACAAAAACTTTCGGAGCCCCGCGCGGGTGATTTCTTGGATCGGCGCTAAACCCCTTCCCTGGCGCGCGGAACGCTCCAGGGGCGGCGCCCGAGGCGCCGCCGGGGGGGGGCCCAACGTCGATCTGACAAAATATGTTCATGCCGTTGTTTGGTGGTCGGTTTCTTCCTCCGCGACGTTGTACCTAGGACGAAAAGAATCTATTGACACAGTGTGCTATTGATACGTTCCGGAGATTCTGGGATTTCTAACCGCCTTCGATCGAGTATTATCTACTCTGGCTGGCGTCGCTGGTCGGTCACCCATTCGCAATCGAGTGGTCGCCCGTAAGGGGCTACTTGGCAGTTGCTGACCCCCTTTCTCGTTGCCGAGCGCGGGGGGGACGGTGGCGCACCGTCCCATCGCCCGCCGCCGCGCACCGCGCGCCTCGGCGGATTCCCGAAGACCTGGCAAGGCAAATCATGCGCGACTTTGAAAAATTCTCCGGGGGTAAACTTGAACAAATCCGGGAACATTTTTGAACATGTCCGGCCTACTTTTCGAAAAATGTCAGAACCGTTTTTGAACATTTCCGGAATCGATTTTGAAAAACTCTGGAATCCACTTTGGAAAATTCCGGATTTCAGAATTCTTCAGATGTCCTGCGCGGCGGGAGCATTCCACCCTCAAAATTGCTTGTTTTGCAAATTGCTGGGCTCCTTTTTAAAAAAAATCCGGAACCGCTTGCGCGAAAAATGGCTGAAACATTTGCTGACACATTCTATAATCCAGAAGTAATGTCCGGGCGGTCCGACGGGCGCGGCCGGCTGATTCACGCGCCGCGCCGCGCGCGATTGGGCGCAGCGCGCGCCGCGCGTTGCGCCCGCGAACAGCACTCGAAGGGGCCACCTCGAAAATAGCGCCACGGCAGCTGCGACTCGCGGACCCCCCAAGAGCAACACAGCATGCAGCTTGGAATCTTCGAGGGCGTTCCGATGCGCGAAAAATGCACCGCGAACATCACGCAAAGAACCTGCGCGACGGAACGCGCTCGACCATTCGTCCCTGAAACCCGCGCGGAAGAACAAGAAAACCTGGAAATCTGGAAAACTATCAATATCAATGTCAATATCAATACCGTCGACCGGCTGTTGGTACTACCAAGTCGACAGAAAGCGAGATGCAAAAGCTAGCGCGCGTCGCAAGCACGCCCGAGCCGAGACCCCGCGCTCCTGGGCTGGGGGCGAGCCAGGGCGAGCTCAGCGCAGAGAAAAGCGATCTAGCGCGGGAGGCAAGCGAGACCATGCACACAGACTTCAGAAGGCGCTCCTGGGAGCCTCTCGTAATCACCCGAGTGGCCGCAGTGGCTCCTCCAATGGCCAGCGGTGGACCCCAGCGGCCCCCCGCAAGCCTAGAGCCGCCACCGGTGTCTCCTCCAGTGGCCCCCTCGCGGCCTTCAATGGCCTCCAGTGGCCTCCCGTAGCCCCCAGTGGCCTCCAGTGGCGCGGGCAAACGACTGTGGACCACTGGAGGCGCACGAAAGCCAGGCCAACTGACAGTAAGAGGCTCCCAGGATCGTCATCTGAAACAGACGCAGCCATGAATGCCGGGAAGAGCAAGCGCACGCACGCGCACATGTTACTTCGCGGCCAGCTGGTCCAACTTAGCGAGGGCGTTTCTGCGCTGCGCTGGGACGATGACACCGAGCGCGCGCCGATGGGGAGGCAACCGCAGGAACGGCTGCGCGTGCAGGAACAACACGCGCACGACGGACCGGCACATGCAGCGGCGCGGACAGTCCGATTCGGAGCTATAAGTTGCCCGTGGGAGCGAGCAGTACGACCAGCGCCAGCGCCCAGGTGGACGACCTGGACGAGCACCGCACAGGGGCAGAGGAGGCACACAAACACACACACACACACACACTCTAGTTCCTCCTCCGCGGCGACGCAGCATCGGCCAGTTATCGAGCAGCGGGGCGACGCCGACTCCAAGCGCGATCGCCTGTATGTGGACCACGCTCCAACCGAAGCCGTGCCTTCCCGGGCGAAGGGGGGCAGACTTAGGCGAGCAGGACGGCTCCCGCCAACACAAACACACACACACACGTAGACACTTCCTGGGCTCGGGGCTGGTTTGGCCAGAACCGGCGCGAACGCGCGGTTGGCACCCCCTGAGTTCCCTGTACGCGCTGGAGTGGTTCCACAGTATCAGATTCAGGCGCTCCCCGCTCGCGATGTTGTCCGCGCCGTGGCGCTTGCGCCCCAGGTGGCAGACGCAGCGGCCCCGGACGTGGCTGTAGGTGTAGGTGTGCTTGCGGTGGTTGGGCGCCCCCATCAGCCCGCAGAACTGCAGGCCGGCGCCGGTGAACTCGAGCCCGAGGCACACGTTGAAGGTGACGTCGGAGTCGTCTGTGTGCATGTCGAGCCCGAGGTCCTCACCCCCGCGGTACCTCACGATGAAGCAGTGGTGCCCGTCCCAGGCGCTGCCGGGGCCAGGGAAGAGGAGGCGCCCCAGGGGCTGCAGCTCAAGCTGCAGCGCGTCGATCAGCGGCTCCAGCCCGATCTCGTTGAGGATGATGCCGTAGTTGTTCATGCTGTTCGGGCGCCTTGCCGGCAGCCCGCTGCTGTAGAAGTTGAATATCTCGTCCACCAGCAGCTCCAAGAATGCGTCGGTGAACAGCACGAACGAGAACACCTCGCCAGGGAGCTCCTCTCTCAGGATCGCCCGCCAGGCCTCGGCCGTACCCTCTCGCCTCGCCTGGCGGAACTCTGGCGCGAGCCACTCGTCCCTCCAGCGCGGGGGTCGCTCGAAAAGCTCTGGGTGGCGGTACTGCATGGAGTACCTCCCGATCACAGAGAACCTGTCCTGGCTTGCCTCCCTGTGGGCGTCGAGGACATCGCGGATCTTCTCCGGCGCCTTGCCTGCAGGGATTCTCCAGGAGGCCAACGGGTCTTTCAGGAACTGGTGCACGGCCTGCACCATCAACCGCACCGTGCAGGCACCGCGGTCGTCCCTAGGCAGGCCGCGGTAGAAGGGCATCAGCATAGCTCCCGACTCGTCGGTGAGCGCATGATGGAAAACGCACTGAAACCGGACGACCGCCAACTTCGAGGGCCACAGGTCGCGGTCGAAGCGCAGGCGAATCCTGAATGGAAAGCCGTACGCGGGGTCCTCTTCCGCGCCTCGCACGCACAGAGTCAGGTCCCACGGGCCCTCCTCTCCAGGCTCTTCTAGCTCGCCCAGGTCACCGCATACCACGGCGGGCCTGAAGAGCTCCCCAAGCTCACTGGCGTAGGGAGGCATCGCTGCGCGCAGCTCCTCCACCTCCGCCCGCAAAGTCTGCAGGCAGAAGGGAACGCTGGGGAGCTTCTGCACCGTGCTCGCCTGCTGGACAGCATCGGGGATGTCGCCACCTGAGGACGAGCCGTCATCCCAGGAGGCCTCAGACTTCTTTCCTCCGTTTTCTGAGTCCTCGGTCTTCTGCCGCTTCGGCGCATTGCTGTCGACATCGCGCGCCGGGCTGGGCGAAGGCATCGCACCGGCCTGTGCTGGTGCTCGAGCCAAAAAAGCTACTGTCCGCACGATGCAGCGTGAAAGTGCCGACAGGCCTCCGGAGTTGGCCCCTGCGCTGCTGTCCCAGTAGCTGCCGCAACCGATCCGAGACGGTCACCCCTTCTTCCCAGGCTGGCTGCCCAAAGGAAGGGCTGGCGAACTGGAACGTTGGGAGCCATGCCCCCTCAGCTCCACCAACCGCAAAGCTCCCAGAGCCAGGAGGATACTGAGATTCGTCCACCCACCTACCCCTGAAGGAGGAGAGGCAGAGATGGTGGAAGAGAAGGAAGGGAAAAGATAAGGACCTTCAGTTTCTGCCAGTCGTGCCATTGGGTTGGATCCTTTTCTACCCGTCATTGGGGACATTGCTGCCCAAAAATGGTAGTCGCAGGGTCTGAGCCACCGTTTGCTGGGCAGTCGAGCAGAGAGGATACAATTACTGTACATCAGAAGTGGGAGCAAGAAACGGCGCAGCAGGAGCAAGAGAGACAGGTGGCGGATGAGCAGGAGGCGGAGGAGAACGAGTAGACGGATGAGTAAGGAGGAGGAGAAGGAACATGAGGAGGAGGACCAGGATCAGACAGATCAGCAAAAGGCGGGGGAGGGGAACGTGGGCGGCAACAACGAGAAACGAACCCGATCCGCAAGTGAGGCTTGCGCGGGGACAGGAGCGCCATTCCGAACGACGAGACTGGAACATCAATGCTGAAATCCGGCAGGAGCACCACGCTTCAAAGACCAGGAGCTTTGCGAACGAGACCAGCCCTGGAAACCATCAGACAGCATAGCCCCCCCCCCCCAGGAGCGAGAGAGGCGAGAGCAGCACTGCACGTTGGCAAGCAGAAGCCGTGACGGGGAACAAGTGGACGGGGCGGAGCGGACGAGGGGATGATTAGGAGGAAGGGGGGGGTGGGAGAAGGAGGAGGAGGAGGCGGAGGAGGAGGAGGAGGAGGAGAGGAGAGGAGGAGGAGGAGGAGGACCAGGAGGAGGAGGACCAGGAGGAGGAGGAGGAGGAGGACCAGGAGGAGGAGGAGGAGGAGCGAGGAGGAGGAGGAGGGGAGGAGGCGGAGGAGGAGGAGGAGGAGGAGGAGGAGGAGGAGGAGGGAGGAGGAGGAGGAGGAGGGGGGGGGGAGAAGGAGGAGAGCAGGGGAGGGGGGAGGTGGGGGGGGGGGGGGGGGGGGCAAAACGGGGGGGAGAGAACATGGAAACGTCACAAAAGAGAGGGGCGGGCGGGAGGAGGGAGGGAAGGTGGTGCCGATCCATGGGGTCTCGACGCGGCGAGCCCCTCATGGATGACTGCAACGGGCACTGCCATGACGCAGCGACGGCCTCTGAGCGGCAACAGTCAATACACCTGGCAGACACACGTAGTTCGGGCACCAGGGGTTGGTCGTACCCCACCCTGCATCCGCATTGTAGCCAGGGCACTGCTACACCTAAAAAATACATGGAAAGGGAATCCCCGACTTGGACCACGGCGGGCAAGATTCTCGAGAAGCCCAAGGATGGAACAATGAAACAGCGAGAGGCGCATCGGACGCCTTCAGGCCCAAATGTGTTCGATATTCCAGCGTTCCGCCTATAATGATATCTGGCGCCAACGACCACAAGCGCAAACGTCGCCCCTATATCTGCATGGATCCAATATGGTACATGATACATCCAAAAATACAGCGCCGCACAACACATTACCTATAGGACCACCCGTCGAGTGCTAAGGAACCTGGGGGGATGGGTACAGCTATCGGTTTGACGTTGAAGCCATATCAGATGTCCAACATAGCTGTATGCATATAGATACATATATGTCTACATATGTGTACGAGCACATCTATGCACACCAGTATCCATATCTGTAGATCGATCCCACTGCCTCCCGACCGATCTCACGACCCATCGACATCAGGAACCCGGTATCACTGTCGAGATCGCAATCCGACGATTTCTATGGATCCCATGACTATTTGTGCATTGGTATCACGGTCTACCTGTGTCACTAAAGAGCGATCCACAGCCACAGGACAGCCGTGGGACAACCGCGAGGCAACCGCGGGACGACCACGGGACGGCCACGGAACAACCCGCAGGACACCCCTCGGAACAACCGTTAGATCAACGATGAGACCAACCATCGGGATAACCACTGGGACAACCACGGGACAACCATCGGGACGAAGATCGGAACAATCATCGGGACCACAACCGAAACAACAATCGGGACCAGAAATCGGGGCAACCATCGGGACATCGATCGGCACGACCATCGGCACGACCATCGGAACAACAATCGGGAGCACCATCGGGACAGCCGCGGAGCAACCAGCGGGACACCCATTCGGAACAACCATTAGATCAACAACGGGGTCAACCATCGGGATAACACTGTTTTTTGTCCCCTCGCGCGCCATCCACCGTTGTCTGGTCCTTGTTTGGGAAATCAGACAGGAGAAGGAGGAGGCGGAGGAAGAGGCGCCCTGGCTCCAGCACAGCAGATGCTCCACACTTCGTGAAACAATCGGGTCAGGGGCCGCTTTGTGGAAACAGCACTGCGACATGCGCTGACTAGACTGCTTGCGGGGCTCGTACCTTTCGACGACGACCCCGGGCACATCCGCCGTTGTCCTCGCACTACCCCACAACGGCCATCCGAAATGCAAGAAAATTCAGCGGCGAGCGAGGGGGGGAAGTGAGAAGAAGAAGGCCTTCTAAGAAGGTTCGGAAGTCCCCCGGCCTTCTGAGACGTTTTCGGAGCCTTCCCCAAAGACAGAGCCAACTCCTCAGAAGGCGCGAGAGCTTCTGAGAGAAGTACCGCCGCCCTCTGAGAAGGACTTCTCCTTTTTATCTCCCCCCCTCGCTCGCCGCCGAGCGATGATTTGCTGGGAGGAAATGTCCCTCCGGGCGTCGGGCCCTGGGGTTGCGAGACGCCGCGGCGCCCGCGCCCCCCCCTCTCAGCCCTCGAAGAAGCTGAACTCCGACGCGGGCTGCTGCCCGACCAGCTCCTTACCAGCCTCGAACGTATCCCTATCCCTAAGATTGACACGCCAAAAGGCGACGACAATCTTAGGGACTCGCCCTCAAAAAATCAGGGAATCCCCAAGATTGGCATCGTGATGCGGAGGTGCCCAGCATAGGGATAGGGATATGTTCCAGGCTGGTAAGCTCCCGCCACTGCTCGTGCCGCTCCGCCCTGCTGAGGCTCCTGAACAAGCTCTTCCTCGGCTTGGGCAGCGGGGCCTCGCCGGAGTCGGACGTGTCGGAGCTCGGCGCGCCCGACCGCAGTGCCACGCTGACGTTCGTGCGGTCGCTGACCGCGTCGAGGACCTTCACCACGTTGTGCATGATCCACTCGCTCTGGTACTGGAGCTTTATCACGTCGAGGGTCTTGGCCTCCCCCTTCAGCCGGAAGCAGCCCAGCAGGAACTCCTCGATGCTGATGTAGCCCTTGCGGTCGCGGTCCAGCAGCAGGAAGAGCGTCCGCACGTCCATGAGCTCCAGGTTGAGAGCGTGGAAGGAGTTCACAATGTTGGCGTCGTGGATGGCGTCCTGCATGTTCTCGAGCGTCAGGAAGCCCGAGCCGTTTGTGTCCAGCTCGCTGAACAAGTCCTGCAGGGCCCTGATGTAGAACACCTTCTGTTCCACCTCCGCCTGTATCTGCGTGTGGGTGTCGAACCGCGACCAGTGGTTCGCGATCTCCACGAAAATTCCAGTGACGACCTTGGTGGGCGAGAGAGAAAGAGAAGTTGAAATGGAACACCCTGGCGTGTGGGATATATCCAAACTCAAGATGTTAGATGTTAGTATACACTCCTGTTGCCAAAACGCCGTTATCTAGAAGAAGGTAGCGGGATAGCATCAGTAAGCATGTCTTCCTTTCCATTAGCCAATATCGTAATGCCTTAAGAGCAAGAGGCCAGAAGCAGGGCCCTTTTTTCACGGTTTCCGAAAAAGTGTCTCTTGAAAATGGAAACGGCAAAAAACAGCAACCCGAAACGACAAAAAACAGCTCCAAGATTGGAACCGGAGCCGGAACCGGCAAACAACGGCGACGGAACCTTCAACAAAAACGGCGTCGGAACCGGCCGAAAAACGGCAAAACGGAACCGGTAAAAAAAACGGCCCTGTCGTTTCCAGGGCCCTCTAAGGTGACGACGTTCGCAGCTCCGAAGATGGCAAAGAGAACGAAGAACAGGAAAACGCTCTGGAACTGGAGCCCCAGTGGTATCAAGGAGTCGTAGAGGTCGCCCCAATTGACGCCCCCCGACATGGACTCGAACAACGAAAGCGCGGACTTCTCGAGGGAACCGAAGTAGTGGCGCATATGGTCCATCGATGGATCATCCCACGAGTGGGTCTCGTTCATATAGTCGACCACGCCCTGCGTCAGACATATCCCAAACACGTAGAACATGGCCGCCAGCACGACCGAGGCCCACAGCAGTGGCCTCACCGAGAACATAATGGACCGCAGCATGATCCTCAGCTGCGTGAAGAACTTCAACACGCGCACGGCACGCAGAAAACGTATCACGCGCACCGCGCGGAATATGCGCAGGCTGGACACCTGCGACCACATTCCAGAATCGGCCTGCTTCGTAACTGTCGATAAAAAATCCACCAGCATCGACATCACCACGGTCATGTCGAACATGTTCCACGACCGTTCTTTCCCGAGCGCGAACTGAGGGCCCATCGCGTAGACCTTCAGGACGAGCTCCAGGAGGAACACCGCGCAGAAGAACGCCTCGATGTGCAGGTTCCAGGGCAGCTCCGCGCGGTTCTTCGCCTCGTGCTGCACCTGCCAGCCCAGGAACACGGAGTTGGAGAAAATTAAAGCCAGCATGACCAGCTCATAGGTGGCGCTGTTGATGAGCTCCAGCGCCCGTTGCCGCAACCTCGACGACGGGGAGGTCCCCGACAGCAGCCGGGTCAGGGTGCGCGACATCATGGTCGTCCCGGAGCCCTGCCCCGTCATGTGGCTGTGCAGCATGCTGCGCCACAGCCCCCGCAGGTCGTAGGAGCGCACCGTGTCGTGCCCGATCATGTCCATGGCACTCGTCGCCTCGCCGGACGAGCACCTCGTGTTCTCGCGCCGCACTGGCCTGTCCCGGCGAGCCGACCGCGAGAGCGAGCTCAGCGAGGCGGAGCGCCTCGGGGCGGACGGCGCCGCGGCGCCGGACGGGCCGGGGAGGGCGGCGGCGAACTCCTCGCCGAGGGCTTCTTCCTGGCCCTCCTGCCCGTCCGTGCTGGTGGCCAGCGCGTAGTCTGCCGTGTGCCCCGAGCGGGAGGCAAGGGCCGGGGTCGCGTCGAGGGGGCTGCTGGCGGCGGTGGTGGCCTTGCCGCTGCTCGCCCGCCTCGGCGGCTCGGCCCGGCTGCCGCCGGCCGGGGGGAGCTGCGCC